TTCTCTTGCTCCTCCTCCACCCGTTAGTGTTGATCCGGGACCTTCATAAGAACTCCAGATCCCAATAGGAATAGTTATGAAGACAGAGTTACAGTTGTACTTAATAAAACACAAGCTATTGAGAAATAAATTATTCCCCTTTTTACTTTGTCCCTTTGTTTAAACAACCAAACGGGAAACTTAAAGTTCTACCTTAATTGAAATATGACATAACCCACGCGAGTTTCATATCAAACGAACAAAATGTCCAATACTTACCGTCAAATAGAGGAACTATTGTTCACAATCTTTTCACTTTCTAGTATTTCTGCATCTGCTTTTCGGAATACAACCTTCGGCAATACCTGAGAATTGTATCGATCGCGTAATCCGCGCGCGAAAGACGAACATAATACCGTCTAAACCATTTTTTAAATTGTTTTAATACTGATTCAGCAATGGCTCTTAGAAGGTCGCTTTTGAAGTTATCTGGTGGGGCAAAAGAGAAAGCTGCTGCCTTGAAGTAGAAAGATTGATTTTTTGATGACTTTCGACACTCCTAAATTAAGTGTGGTTATATTACATATGTACTTTCGTGTCGCAGCCGATTACGACGGATACAATATACCTTCCCACAATCTTTGTGTTATTTTACAATAATAAGCATGTTCTTCGTCTTAGAACTGAAGATTTCTCTTAAAACTACTGATTTCTCTTCTGAAACGTGATCTGATCAGAAGTTTTCCTTTTAAGATTAATTTATATTTCATTAAAAAAGTTGAGGAAATTCTGGCGCTGTTTTATAAACTAGTGGAAAAACAACAGATGGCTGCGAAGTTTGTACATTTATAATCATGCATGTCTTTTTTTGGATAACATATTGATACCATAAGAGAAAGAAAAAATCTGATCTCGACAAATTAAATGAGCTAACGATTACGTACTGGCAAATCGATCTGGTTTAAACGGTTTGAAGTCTTGTGGAATAGGATTTGCTTTAATCCTTGTCTGACTTCTGGCATCCGCATGGCGTAGATTATAGGATTTAGCACCGAGTTGGCTGTGTATGAAACCCTTGTTATCTCGCCAATGTGAAAACGATAGCAAAGGGGAAAGTTTAAGTAGAACTGAGGAGAAAAAATTGAAAATAACTGTAGTATTACCAATGGAAACCAAGCGAGGAAAGATCCAAGAGTCACAATTAATAATGTACTCGTCAATTTTTTTTCCCTTACACCTGCTGCACTGTGATGTTGTGGACGACGAATAAAATGGATCTTGATGAAAATAGAAATATAAGAAACAGAAATTATGAAAAGGAGAACAAAAAAAGCCGAGAATTCAAAAATACGGCGAACTTTGATATTACTCCCTAATATGAACTTACGAGTCAACGCTACAATTGTAGATGTTATCCAAGTTACAATCATTATAACTCCGTAAACCCATTTCTCAATAAAACGATGCTTAAATGGACAAAATGTTGCATGTACCCGCTCTAGTGAAATGGCCGCGAGATTTACAAGCGAAGCAAGAGTGAAGGTGTTGGCTATTGAGTTCGTTGCTGCGTAGTTACGACTGTACTTCCACAGTTTACAGACACTCCCTATCCGATAGATTTCCAATGGCCCTGAGACTGCTCCAACTAAGAAATCTATTATTGCCAGATGAATGATCAAGATTGCACTTCTCCGTTGTAGCTGACGTTTCTTCAAAAATATATTGACAGTGATGATATTAGGGATGATTATCGCCAGACATTCAGTGATGAACACCACAAGCCACGGGATGCAGCTGGATTGAGGAAGCGGCGGCCAGGTCTCGATGTTCGTGTTATTATTAGTGCGGTTGATGGTGTTGTTAGCCATTGAGTTCGCTGAGGGTTTTAGGAGTGGCCAAATTAAGCGATCTAAATCAAGAGTGAAGGAATTATTATAGAGAATATGCTTGGTTTACATACACAGGTGAGCAAGATCTCAAATACATCTCTTTGTGTTCTCTCTTTTTCACATCTTATCATAGTATTTATCTTGGATTACAAAACATGCTTTTAACTAGACGATTTTAGAGAAGTAGCCAGCCTAGGTGTTTGGGCAGAAAATTCAATTCTTCAATATCAGCTTAATCGTTAAACATTGTGGAACTGTTAATGATCACGCTGGAATTGCAATGAATAAAAAATTATCTTTAAAGTGGTTTCGTCGTATCCCTGGGGAAATAATAATTTTCGAAGAGGTAGATATAATTAACAAATAGAGAAGCTTTGACTGTGCCGCTTTGTTCTGTTCTGAAGCGCGCAGGAAGCGTTCAGAGTTCGAAAAATACGTCTCGTGTTGTACCTAGTCAATTCTAGCATCCGCGTTGCGTAGATTAGAGGATTTACGAACGAGTTTGCGAAGTAGAATAGTTTGGTTATCAAGACATTGTGAAAGGATATCCTCATGGGAAAGTATTGGCCATAGAAAAGCGAAAAACCAGTTGAAGTATCGCTGGAAACTAAGTCAATAGGGACTCTAGAATCACAAGAAATAATTTTCTTTCCCTCTCACTTGCTGCGAAATGCTGTCGAGGTTAACGATTAAAGCGAAGTTCTTTAAGAATGGAAATGCAAGAAACACAAATTACAAAGAGGAGAGAATTAACTATCTCTAGCTTATTAGAATTCCGTGCTCCACAATAATGCCATACAGCACTACAGTATTGAAGGATAGGTTGTATAAATGCCTTGTAGAAACGTAACCGTATGGATCCAGAGAGGAGATTTCCAAAACGACCAATGACCCTAGACTGGTTATTGACCCTATCGCATATATGGGATACATGCTTTGAAAAACTAAGTTTTGAGTCAATGTTAATTCCTAATAGATCTATATCATGCTGCTCGATTCTCACCCCATCAACTATAAATGAAAAATTAAGATCAGTTTCTCCGAGTATGAGAGAATAAAATTTACTTGGATTGGCCATAATACTGTTATTCCTAAACCAATATTATTCCTAAGCTCAATTGTGAAAGGGCGATCTCGATCCTTGAAAATTTATATGACCATACACAGACTGTTGGTTAAACAAATAACCTAAAGTTATGAACGGCAAAATGCTCAAAACAAATCTAACTTTTTTTTCTGTAGACTTTTTATTCTCATACTTCCCAATACAAGTTTAACTATAATTATAAAAGTTTGCAGTGTATTACTGGTTAGGCATTTAGAGCCAAAAAGATTTTAGATGCTTTTATCTCATCTCCTGCTAGATTCCCCTTTTTCGTAGATTGCAATATCATTTTAGTAAGTCGAAAGTAAGGAAAAATGATTTTTACGGTGCGTACAGAATACTAAACTATATGAACCCAGCCTTATTTCTGAATTAATAGTTGTCGAATAATTATTTAACGTGTTTATTCGATGACTCGTATTCACAACTGCCCTTAATCAAAAAGCACATGAGTAATTAATTTAAAAGTCTCGTGATCAACTGTCAATCATAAACGTCCTTTGAACTCTGTACAAACAAAACAGAAAACAAAACCCTATGAGAGCTAATAAGTCTCACGACAATAGTCTTTACACTTGAAGTTTCAAGATCTGTCAAGTAACTCCTTTCTCCAGCTGAAATGATCTCCTTGTGAAGAGCAAAGAGAATTTATCCTTATCTCAACAGAAAACAGCCTACAGCTGATGCACTTCTCAATAATCATCTTTAGATTGTGGAACAGCGTAGCGATACCATAAGGAGAAGTTACATATCAATAGCTTCTGTTGGTCCAAGACATTTCACTAGAAAAAATTACTAAAAATCACGTAAAGGTATATCCCCCGGGTTTAAACGGTTTGGAGTTCTGCGGAATATAATTTGTTTTATTCCTTGTCTTAATTCTGGCATCCGCATGGCGTAGATTATGGGGTTCAGTAGCGAGTTTGCCAGGTTTAAAGCCACCATTATGATACGAAAGTGTGTCGACCAAAAAGAGTTGTGGATTAAGTTAGGATGTATAATAGCAATCCCGGTTGCTATCCCTGATGGAAACCACATGAATAAAGACGCAAGGGTCACAATGAACAACACTCTCGTCAATTTTCTTTCCCTTGCAGCCACTGCGCCATGGCGTGGTAAAGAACGAATTAAGTGGACTTTGATAAAAATAGAAGTGTAAGAAACAGAAATGATAAAAAGAAGGAAAAGGAAAGATGGAAAATACACAATGGGACCACTTGTGGCTCTTTCTGTCAGCGCTGCAGCGATATTTGTTACCCAAATTACAATTACTACAACTCCATAAACCCATGTTTTGATCAAACGATGTCTGAATGGACAGAAAGTTGCATGTACCCTCTCTAATGAAATGGCAGCGAGATTCAGAAGAGAAACAAAAAGGAAGTTCTGCACTAAAGCGATACGCAGTGCTTTATAATCTTCACTGGTCAACCCTAATTCCCATAGATCGCAAAAACGTCCAAACCAGTAAATATAGATTGGCCCTGAGACTGCCCCAACTAAGAGATCGACTATCGCCAGATGAATGATCAAGTAAGTACTTCGGCGCTTTAGCTGGCGCTGCTTCACGAATACAATGATATTGATGATATTAAGGATGACTATGGCCAGACATTCAGTGATGAACACGACAACCCACGGGATGCACCCGGATTCAAGAATCGGCGAACTGCTCGTGTCGTCATGTGTGCGGTTGATAGCGTCGTCAGGCATTGAGTTCTCGCTGGAGTTTGTAACTTGCCCAATAATCTATAACAAGGAGATTCACTTCATAAATGATTGTTGAGTAAATTTAATAGGAATATATAGATAGGTGTAAGATGGCATGGAGGAATTCATTTCGTAGTTTTCCTCTGGTGCATTCTGATTATGTATAATGATAATAGATATTTTCCTTGCCTTACCGTGAAACTAATAAGCATTTGTGAGGGGCCAAATTGTTCGATCTAAATAGAGAGTGAAGGAAAAATATAGAACTTGACTGTTTTACATACACGAACGATCACACAATCTCTTGACATACACAGATACTAAGGTCTGGAACAAATCACTTTGGCTTTTTATTTTCATATGTTACCATAATATTTACCTTGGATAAGAGACAACTCTTCTGACGGATTCAGACTCAACCAGGCTGGGTTTTTGGGAAGAGAAATTCGTTCCCCCAATATCGGCTCAATCAGTTAATAAATGTGGAACAGTCTATCATAATCACGCCAAGTTGCTCTGTAGTGGTTAATAAGTTTTCATCAAAGTTGTTTTATTTAATTCCTTGGAGTTTGAACTTACGCTTACTGAAAATTTCTTTAAACATACCTTTATGGCAATGACCGTTCTTATAACAGATTGCCTGTTGATTGCATACCGTGAGCTAAACCTCAGTAGAAACTGCAAGATAATAGTAAAGAATAATAAAGAAATATGTAAACAGTATATCTACCAGTTTGGATCTTGGCTGGCTACCTATTCTGGAGCTAAGGGACTACTCGCTACTAAAAACTATTTTTAAAGCACTGTATTCTGATAACTGGCCCTCCCATTTAAATCTACAAGTCGATAAACCCGTTAGGTATCTCCGTTCCAGCGGTTGCTACAAGCCTTTATGTTCCATTTGTAAAAGGCACCTTTCAGCATTCAGCAACCATGATTTCTAATGAATTGCCTGTAAATATAAGAAATTGTACAGATTTTAAAGAATACTGCAGGCTCTGCAAGGCGTTCTTAAAGGCCTGCGCTTTTCCTTCCACGTAAAGACAAAGAAACAACCAACCACCAACCACTACATTCTACATATTTACATTCATGTATAGTTTTTATTACAATTTAGTTAGTTATTATAATTTAGTTTAATATTAAATATTAGTATCGTAGGCCTTCATATATGAAGAGCCACATCTTTTATTTGGATATACTATGAATAAACCGTTATTATTATTATTATTATTATTATTATTATTATCATTAGTATTGTTATTATTATTAAGAATTCTTGCAGAGGGTTGTTTTGTAAATAACACCGTAACGTACACGTATTTTAACTTGTTTGTGTGTCCTTGTAAGCCACACAGTAGGTCTGCTACGACCAGAATGCCAAATTGATTCTTTAATTTGATCCTCTCCACTCTGTATGAGGCCCTTGGCCCGATTCAAGGAAGCGCCTTCCGATCACCTTTGTTTACTCTGTAAGTCATACAAGCGTTACGACTAATCATGTTTATGCAACGTTTCAGGACAACTCGTAAGTTATTTTCCATCCAGTTGTTGTGAAAACCTGAAATACTTTACGAAGAAGATAAACAAACGAAGTTTGAACGGTCAAAGACATATCTTGGTAATTCTTCAGAATTCAGATGCAAATGGTTTTGACACGTGCGTGATCGTGATTAAGTAAAGACATTGTTTTGCGTTGTTTTCAAGACGATGGTGGATGAAAGCTAGAAAGATACCCGCAAGTTTGAGGCAATCGGTGATCTCATTGGTTTATAAACTATCATCCAATATGTTTTTTTTAGCCCGATCTACGCCTGAACTTTTTGAGAATTCTTTCTTTCAGATTAGTTATATTTTGATATGCAAATTAAGGTCGAAGGGTAGTATGTCTTCTGATCCCGCCGATATGAATAGGATTTCAAGCGAAGTTTCCATATTTTGTCTGTAAACTGACTGAATATAGCTTGTAACTTGAAACAAGAGAGAATTCCATGTGCTGCACTATTACAGTCGCAGCGCCTCGACTAAAGCAGTGAAATTTACACTTTCGATCGTTGTCTACACGGGTGGTTTAGCCAAAAGTCAATTTTTGCTTGTAGCGAGGCAAAAAGGAGAATTAGAAAACAACCAAACTATTTTTGTAATATTTGTCCTTAACCCTTTTCATAGGAAAGATAATTAAGGAAAATCGTTTTTGGAGGGGAAGTCGAGAGGACCGCTCTTAGCGAGAGTGGCACTTAATATACCGGTTTAGTGACATGATTCCTTATCCGTGACTCAACTGCTTCTAGCTTCGCTGTTTTATCATTGAATTCAGCTTTTAACAAGAGAAACTGTTAGTACCAAGGGTGTCAAATTCACACTTTAAAACGGTTATTACCGTCGAGGTATGTTCTTGAAAAAGAGGTTTCAAGTATGACGAAGTCGTTTGTTTCGAGTAGGCTTATACTATTTTGCGAAACGAAGCGAAACGAAACGAAACGAAACGAAATTGTACTATTTTGCGAAACGAAACGAAACGAAATTTTGCGAACTGGCGTTTTTTCGCCTTTATTTAGCAAATATGTCTTCTTCGTCCGAAACAAAATGTTTCCACTAATAAAATGATCAATCTTTCTAAGAGCCTGGTCACCTCTCATTTTATTGACCATAGTAGAATTCGTTTCGCAAAGAAGTAATTTTGACAGAATTACTATTTTGCGAAAAGGCGTTTTTTCACCTTTATTTAGCAAATATGTCCTCTTCGTCCGAAACAAAATGTTTCCACTAATATTATAATCAATATTTCTAAGAGCCTGGTCACCTCTCATTTTATTGACCATACA